CTCATTACTGCGTGCTTACCGCAGACCGTCCGAGCGTTTCGCTGGACGACCATACGAGCGCCCTCCACCCATCATGGTGGACGGCCACGAGGAGTTCCTCGTTTCAGTCATCATTGGTCGCCGAGTCACCGACGACAACCCTCCCCATGTCGAGTATCTCGTACGTTGGAAGGGTTACCCTGATGAGGAGGCTACCTGGGAGCCCCTTGAGCACTTGCAGCACGCTCGCATGTTGGTGCGTGCCTATGACTGTGCTCATCGTGCTGGGTTTATTGCTCTTCCTCAGCCCACTGACCCTCCTCCTTCTCCCCCGACTGAGGAGACCGTTGAAGTCGAGCCTGCTCCATCTGAGGCAGACCTTCAGCAGCAGCCGGATGCTTCTGAGCGCCCACAGCGCACTCATCGTCGTCCTGCTCGATACGACGATTGACTCTGACTTACCTTCCCACGTCCTTGACTTCTCAGTACTCCATACACATCAGTTTTGCTACTTCAGCTCGTCGACGCTGCGGCTCTTCCTCGACGGCATTCCGGACTTCTCATCGTGGACGTCATTGGCGGCTTCATGGACTTCATCATGATCAGCTCTGCCTACTTCAGACGTCGTCACTCTCTTACCACTCTACCCTGTACAGTACCCTGCTTGTGTCGCATGATGGTCTCCCTTTAGCCGGGTTCCTCTGAGTTGGGCTCTCCCTTGGTATACGCATAGGCATCGGGACCGTAGCGTTGCCCTGGCTTCCCATCTTACGGATCTAGCTCCGACTTCCCTCACTTTAGGAGTTATTTGCATGATTCCCTTACCTATCATCTTTCTACCCTTCGCCGGCCCTCATGCCCTAGTTAGGCAGCCCCGCATGCTTCATCTAGGTGCGCCCAGTATACCAGGTTCCCTTGTTCCCTTGCATGGTTGACCCTCCATAGCGGTCACCCCTTAGTCGAGCATTATTCGCCCTGATGGTCTATCTGTTAGGGTCATTGGTTCTGTTCGCTCCCAGTTCCCTATCCTCATTGAGCCTGATGACATGTGTTTTCCCTGTTACTATGTGTGGATGCCCTTAGGAGTTTTCGACCCCTAGGCTGCATTCGCCACCCTCAGAGAGCATCCCACCTTTTGGTTTGCGACACACTTCTCATGTGACATATGGTTGTCTTGTGATTGCTTTGTTGCTCTCAGGCTGAGGCTACTGCCTCTGACATTTCTAGGATTTAGTTGTTCTGCTTTTGATGTTCTTAGGACTTATACACTAGTCAGCTGTTACCAGACCAAGGCTACTGCCTCCAACATTTTAGGATCTAGTTGTCACTACTTTCTGCTTTCCTAGGACATGTATGCTAGTTAGTTGCTTTTGCTTTCCTAGTTGCTTTCACTTAGGGTGTTAGCTGTGACATTGCTGTTTTGTTACATTTTATATCCTAGGTTGCATCGCATGGACTCAGCATGGAGCTCGCTCCGCATCTTAGACTACTCAGGCTTTCTTTTTTTTTGGTAGAGTTCCGCTTCTTGGCGGAAGCGTGTTTGCATCTAGGCGATCCATCACAGGCCGAGGATCGTGTAGCGGACCTCGGGTTGGCCTGTGAGACCAGCCCCTTGGCCTGTTCTCACAGGCCTGTGTTCTATTCGGGGGCAGTCCAGTCCCGTCCAGGCCGGTACCTCTGTCGGTACCAGCCAGTCCAATCCAGTCCAGTTAGTCCGCTGGGGTATACCCCAGCAGTTGTCTGTTTCGTCATTATTCTTCACTTGCACATTTTGGAGTACGTGGGTTGGAGTCTTGCGTGGGGAGCTGCGTTGTGCCATCTCGCTCCCCCCTTCTTCCTCCATCTCCATCTCTACCACTAGCGGAGCACCACACCTGGTGGGTCCGCTACATATGTACACCGAACATTTCATTCAGTGTAGGCAGGAGTCATAGCCCAGAACCAGAGCAGCAACTATGTGTAGTGAGCGACCTAGAGTAGTTAGTGAAAGGTAAAGCACTTACTATCAGCAAGAATGGGAGGCAAAAAACAAAAACGCCAAGCAGCTATGTACAGCAGGCTCGGAATTGTTGACAGTGTATTGTGCTTATGCAGGACAGTATCAGGTCATTGAGGTAAATCAGGAGATCAAAGCTACTCATGCACAACAGATTCGAGGCAAACAACCATAGAGACGACTTCATGGACTCAGAAATAGCCTTAACAGAAAACCCGAAAGTGACAGCTGCTTAAAAAATAGTACATCAAGAACAGTAGCAGCTATGTTGATAGTGGTCTTGGAGAATGCTGTTTTTCTTGGGAAAAGTTATAAAACCTCCCTGCGGCAAAACCTTTGTATCCATTTCACCCCAAATGGGCCAAAAGATGTTGCAGGCCCCAAAATGACTTTTCATGTCGTTTTTGCACCCTGGTTGGGGCCAGTGACAGCCGCCGACAAAAATGGCAAAAATAGCGGGAAAGTGTTTTCCTGGATGGCAAAATGACGCCTGAAGTCATTTTGCCATGATTTTGGGGCCTGGGGCACTTTTTGCCCTGTTTGGGGGGAAATGAATACAAAGGTTTCCCGGCGGGGAGGTTTTATAAATTTTCCCTTTTCTGGGGGGGGGGGGGGGGGGGGGGGGGTAAAGTACGTTCACATCACCTTTGAGACTATAGAATGGGAAAAAAGACACGAGTCGGCATGAAACCGCCCCGAGTTCAAAAAGGCAATGGAAATACCGACTGCCATGGTGTCAGACCGGGTGTCATATTTACAGGGGTCGGCCGTCGTGTCAGAGGGGAAAAAAAAAAAAAAAAGCCCAGCGGATACTTTTGGACCGAAATCGCTCAGAGTTGGCGTGTGGTTTCTCTGCCGGCACAAGTTTTTTTGCCTTTAGGGCTTCAAAATATGCCGCTTTTTGGTGTAAACATGGGTCAGGACCGGATCTTCTGCCACAGGAGTGATAAGAGGCCCAAGTGGTAGAAGCGCTGCTGTTCGATGGCTCCATTCTATTCGTGGGGGGAGCTGCACCTGCTGGAAATCGGGTCCGGGTCCAGCGTCCCTTACCACATATCATTGACTGAGTACAGCTCAAGCAAATGTTCCTTTCTCATCTAGCTCACAAGCAGCAGCTGACTAAAGGAACCCTTCACCCTACTGGCGCCAGAACAGAGTGATGAGCTAGTCCATCAAAGCACGCTGCCACTGCAATTCAGTACACTGTCTGCAGAGTCTCATCTCTAAGTTGTGATTGAAACTAGTTTTAGTTCTGTGTGTACTGCACGAGAGAGACAGGGTATTTGGTTAAATCTGTCTGCAGAGTCTCATGTCTAAGTTGTGATTTAACCCAACTTTGGCTCTGTATGGACTGGACCAGAGAGACAGGGTATTTCGTTAAATCGCCAGCTCCCGAAGTTCGAGGATTAACAGTGTAGGTTAATGATGGGTGGGGTCAATCCTTCCCTTATGGGGAAGTAAGCAATGCCTCCAGTCCGAGTGTGATCGTCGTGAATAGGGAAGCCGTCTCCAGGGAGCAGTGGCCAGGTCTCTTCCAGCCTAGGCTGGATTATCGACATATGAGAGTCACCTTTGGCACTCGGCCTTGTGGTAGAGGCCCCCTAATCCTATGGGACTCCCTCCCAACCTACCTCTTTTGTTATTTCTCTCGGCGCACTCCTACTCCCACTATCCTACCTCAGTGTCTACCACTCACCCTCCAGCCTGGGGGTGACCTGACCGAACAGTGGTTGTAGGTACCAGGGCTAAGCTGAGTTCCACACAACCCACTCAGCCCCGATCGAAGCATATTTGACCGAGCCTTGTTACATGGGTACTTCAGGTGCTAGGTACAGACGTTTCACTACAAGTCCCATAGGTGGACCTTTTTTTTTTTCTGTTTTGTTTTTTGTTTAAAAAAAAAAAAAAAAAAAGAGAAAACTACGGCGCAGTCAGGGTTACAGTTTGTAATTG